CAGTTCATACATCACTATTGTTGTGAAACAGAAGCAAGAGGGTGCCACTTTGTTTTATAAAAAACCCCAACAAATAAATTATACATTGAGAGCTATTGCCAAGCTTTACATATAAAATGTAAAAATACAGTAGTTAGTGTGGTTTTCACAAAAAAAGCTAGCTACAAAAATATTCTTACATACTTTAAAAATAAGTTTGTCCAGTTATAGGTGGGGGGTGCGTGTGTGTTTATGAAGCAGAGTGCTCAAGCTGAACAGTAAACAGGAGGTGAATGTTGTAGAACCGTGCAGCTCCCTGCTGCAGAGGGTCCGACCCCGCTGCGGGGGCAGCGCCCGCTCCTCACTTCCAGCAGCTGCACACAACCGCCCGCGTGACGGCTCCCGGCTTTCAACCGGCTGCGCCCACCTCCCTCCTCAGCACCGCGACAAGACAGCGCAGCACTTCATGACCTGACACCAGCTCTACCTGGTGGGAAGGGCCCCGTACTTGTGTCCACAGTGCAAACACTCAGACCAAACACACACAGATTACACCTGCATCACTGAAAGGCCATTAGCATGGAGGATTTTTATTTTTTGGTATAAAAATTATGATTGTCCAGCTGCATTTGAAAGCTGTGACGTTACCATGTCTAACAGCTATAGAACTTCACTGCAACATTCCAGACTAACAAACACTATGTGCCCAGACAGAGCTTTAAATGCTAGCTGGCCATGAAAAAGAGCTGCTAACATTTAATCTGTAGAAGATTTGGGTTGTACCAGAATATGTTCACAATATCAAAAATATATCCAGTGCTGTCTGTGAAGGACGTGCTGATCTTAACAGCACACCTTTGCTTCAAGAAATGAGAAGTGAGGTGGAGGCAAAGGTGTAAAAGGCAAGGGCTGGAAATAGTTTGTGTAAAGAGACCGAAATGTAACCAGACAGTTCACCTGAGCTCCTCTCTGGTCCTGCAAATTTTCTTGTTGAAGTTACATCCAAAAAATTGTCCAAAACGCAGCTTTTACACCACTGTCTGTCTGTGACAAAGTACACCTGGAATTTAACTTTAAAAATCAAATACATTTAAACTAATCCATTAACCATGACTGATTACCAGGTAAGTAGTTATTTTATGTCATGTGACTTAAACCCCATTACCACTGAAGGAAAGAAGAAAATCCCTTAATTCAAGTGTAAGAGGGTCTGAACTCCCTCATTTTAATACCCATTTCAAAAGCCTGTAAGACTGCTGCTGTGTCCTCAGCACACACAGACTGTCTGGCCTCTTCCTGTTGGACTCAGTGGGTGAGATGGAAACACAGTTCTGAGATCCAGCAGCTCGCAAAGATTAATCCCTCTGAGATACAGGGTGGCGTTTTTTGTTATTATAAAAGGTAAGATTTCTGTAAAATCTTTTACTCCAATCACTCATGGAGTGTAATTGGAGTAAAATCACTTTTACTTTAAGATCCAATCACTTATGTTTTTAGTGTAAACTATAATTTTTTAATTACAGAATTGGAAAAACGCCATCTCAGGTCAGCATTACGTGCACACAACACAGCAAAGGGGTACAAAGCCAGTGCACCAGGACAGGCTGGGACAGGCGCTGGTAAGGCAGCAGGGGACAGTCCCAGCTTTGTTAGGAAAAAAATTTGAACTTTTTTTTTTTTTAAATCAGGGAGTTGGCTTTTTCCAAATGACTGCAACAGAACATGCATTTATTCCTTCCCGTCAACTCTTACAGCTTTTAAGTGGTTGGCAGACCTGCCAACATCAAATTCACACAAAAGTTTTACTTATAAAACTCTTTAAATAAATAAAAAATATATAAACTTTTAGAGGATGACTGGACCTTACAGCCAATCAATCTATAGTTTAGGCATTAATTGGTACTTTATAACACTAATTGGACCTTACAGCCAATCAATCTATAGTTTAGCAGTGGTAAGAAAATCCCTTTTTCTCAATGTCACACAGGCATTAATTGGTACTTTATAACACTAACGTAGGAACTGTTATACCTATTTGTGTTTGATAAAATGCAGGCGATGAGTGATGCTCCGTTACCTGGTAGCCAGTCATTATACAACACAGTACCTGTAGTTTTAAAGCAAAACAGTGATGCCAAACTACAGGATGGTCAGATTCCTGCCTGTGTCTGTTCAGATCACATAACTGTGGCGCCTCAGCCTCGCCAGGCTCCCTGCATAAACAATGATCTGGAATAGCTAAATAAGCTACGTTAAGTTAAATCGGGTGAATATTTGCTCCAAGTATTAAATGTTATTGGAAAGAGTTGGATTTGCAGCCCCAAATCCATTAGAAATCTCAAGTCCCTAATTTAACAGCTGAAAATGTATATGTTTACATAAAGTTTCAAGGATTAGTCCTCTGAAAATTGAGGAAAACCTTTCCCCTTTGAAATTTTCGTGTGTGTAAATACATCATTCCCCTCCGATCACCACTGCCCCAGCCACGTTGAAATAACAGTTGGCTACTTGGAACCATTTAGATTTTAGGGGCCACCCACCACACATGTTATTTACTTGTTATCTGCTGTATGTGATTGCTCGGGAGGAATTTAAGGATGGTATTCAACATGCGATGCTGGAAAACTGTAAACTTCTGTTTGGGAGGGATTCAAGAGAACAGTTCACAGAGCTCCTGAACCCAATGGGAAGAGTCAAATATCAAACATGCCTTAAAGAAAATGCTTCTGCATTCTGTCTATTTACAAACCCAACACATGTAGCAGGCGAACGCCAGCTCAGCTGCTGAGCAAACAGATCAATAGCGAGTGCCAAGTTTCCCCACACAGTCCTGGCTTTGTGCAGGCAGCAGACTGTTGCAGCCATAGCTTCCCTTTTCCTGCAGGAACTTTGCTGGCAACTGTATTATTAATCCAGACTAAGACATGTGATATTTGAATCGGGAACCTTCTACATTTTAATATGCAATAAGGCTCAGACTTAAAAGTATTAAAAAAAAAAAGCCAATACTCAACTGGAAGTACCAACGAATGGAACAGCTGGCGAGCACAAACACTCTCCCTGGTCCAGGAGAGCAGCTTCCCTCTGGTTGGCAGTGTGGGGAGCGGGGTTCTGCCCGCACAGTGCTTCAGGTGCTGGATGGAGGGGGAACCTGAAGCGCCTGCCACCAATTCTGACTCCTGGTTCTTGAGGCAATGGCTGCAAATCATTGTCTGCAGAGACACACTCTAGTACAGCAGTCCAAAGAGCTCCCCATTGTCTCTGTATTTCTCTATTAAGGCCTCGGGGGTTTTGAGGAGTGGCAGTGAGCCACGTAAATGCCATGTGGCTTCTTCCGTAACACTCTCATTCAGCATGTTGCAAAGGAGCACACGAGCAGCAGTAAGAACGCCCTACTCTGAAAGAAGCAGCCGAGCCAGGCACCAGCTTCCTTGCACGACCCACAGTGCTTTGGTCCAAATCTTTGTCTACACTGAGAGATGTGCACGCAGCCAGTGTGCAGAAATGAAGTTGTGCATACAGGTTTCAGAAACAACTTTCACATTTAAAATTATTTCCAAGAACCACATGTATATATACACTTATAAACAGCAGTACTATGCAGAAAACATCCTCCAACCCCAGTCATATGTACAAACCTCAGAAAGATTCCGGTTTTTCATCTGTGCTTCCCTGTTAGGACATGTGGAGTTCATCATCGGGCTTCTATCTTTCTTCTCCCTCTGACTCTGCATTGACCTTTTCCACAGGCTGTGCCCTATGTGCTCACCGCTACACGTCCACAGGAGGGTCCTGCTGCCCAGGACTCAAATGATCTCTTCAAACTGTACATACTGTATCCTGTACTTCACCTGAGCACCAAAAGGCCTTCACCAGCTCTGCGGTGCGTGCTCTTGCAAGCGCTACCTTCCTTTTACATAGAAGTGAACTGCTTACAAGAACTTTTCATCTTTTTTTCCTGTTCTCACCTTATTCTATTTTTTCTTTCACATACAACTATTAGACAACACTTGGAACAGGATTCGAGGTGGTGTGGAGAACTGATCTAGTTGTACCCTCATGCTGCTAACATACCTGATAAGTATTCCCAAAGCACAGCATCTGGAAAAAACACCCAGAAACAGTATGAATAGAAACAAGAAAATTATTTTCCTTCGTAGTCCTATATGACAACAAAAATAATCAATGAGCAGTTCCTGAAATAAGCTGTACTCATACCTTCACTGCTTCAGCATTTAAAACAGATATATCTCTAGTCTAAAATGCATGTATTTGAGTCATATAGGAAATGAAATAATTAGTGTCAAAATGTGGGACCTCTGCTGTAGTCTGCTTTTCCTGCTTTCAACAAGCAGCTCAAATCCAGTCAACATAGATGGTCACTGACCAACTAGATTTCATTCTTTCCAGGAACTGTAACAAGAGGTGCAAGGATTATTAAAGGGTTTAAGGCCAAAACGGAGAGTATGAGCTGGTAAAACAACAGAAAAACAGAGGGAATAATTACACAGAAGAAAAAGTCCTTGGCCGTATAAAACAGCCATCACTACTGTGAGCCACCATCCATAGTACGGCCACAAGGTGGCCCTACAAGTTCTCCTAATCTTTCTAATCTTCATCTACGGAGGTGAGGGACAGGGTGCTCACACACTAGAGCCAACATCACAGTGAACACGTTCCATTAACACTTGAGAGGCAGCACAGGGTAAGTAAGACTAAACCTAGCGTGAGCGGAACACAACTAGATTCTGTTCCTTGTGTTCAGGACTAACTCCAGTGTGGTATTTCACTTCTACTGGGGGAGAAGGTGAAATGTGCATGTGGTTTTATATCCCAGTTTAGATTGTAATTCCAGTTAGATTGCAATGTGGAAGTCTCTTCCTGGATCCCAGCAAACCAGCTGGCTGTTTGACTCCCGTTCAGCAAGAGTTTGATCCCAAGCAAGTCTTTTGGAAGGATCCCTTGAGATATGTTAGAAGATTTGAGTTTTTACAGGGTGGGAAGTGCAGAAACTCCTTCTTCTAAAGTTCAGTGGTGAGTAAACATTTCATTCTTACTGTAGCATCCTCAGTAACTGGGCTAAAAGAGGAAAAAAAAAATGAGGCCCTGTAAATACACTCACCCAAAAAGATCTGCCATGATAGATTAAAAAAGAAAAAAGATGAGTATTGTTACAAAGACCATTAATAGCTGTTCCCCTTGTAATTTAATGAGACCAATGGGCAAACCCCTCCAATGGCCAACTGTAGAAGAGCAAACTGAATCAACTTCCCACACTCCAGCAGGAGCACCACTGCCATCTGCACTGTAAGAGGTTCGCTGAAAGGCCTGATCATCACTGCTGTCGTTCTGCCTCACCAGCACAGCAGAAGGGAATAGCAAGGGGAAAGGTTTCTACAGATTCTGTTTTCTGACTTCCTTACAGCTTGGAAATAACTGGGGGACATCCCACACTCCCCCCACCAATCCTCTGACAGGTACTGAAACACTGAAGAGATTTCTCAGCAAATTCTGTACCATAACACTAACATCTGTACCATAATTTTAGTCCAGTACTAAAACATATTATCAGATAAGGAAAAAAACTGAAGTGAAATGGTAATTACTCATTTTTATAGCATTGATAACAGCAACAGTTTTACCTCCAGCTAAATCTGTATCCCTTGTTCCTTTACTTCAATTAAAAAAGGTTTTCGCACCCTTCAAACAATGTTATATAAGAATATACGCACATCAGCTGCTCTATTTATTTGTACGATTTCAAATGCTAGAAAATGAGACAGAACTAGAGGTTATAAGCACTGCAATGCCAGGCACCGTGTCTAAATGACCACTATAACTATTTAAGTGGAAGTAGTAAGAGCACACACTTCCCTTCCACAACATACAGACTTCTGAAGCGTGTGCTGAGGAGACCTTACCTTGCAGGGACTTCAGGTGTCTGCTGGGCTGGTGGCAATCCAGCTGATGACAACAGGGTCTCCATGCTGCCTTTCACTGCCTTCACACCCAAGGCAACATCGTTTCCCAAAGGCCCATTGGAAATCAGTCCAGTCTGAATTGGGGAGAATGAACAAGAAACTGAAATAAAAATCTGCCAGGACAAGACAAGCTCATTTTTCAATATGATTTATTTATAACAGTAAAAACTGAGATTTATCAAGTTTCAGGGTGGGCTTCACTAAATGAAAGTTCTTAAAGAAACTTCATGGCATTTACCCACAATGTAATGCAGCAAAAATGAAGTTTAAATATTAACAGGATATGTATGTTGTTTGGTTTACTCCAGCTTGCTTTATTTTTGGTCTGGTACATTATTTTATGGGCTTTCAAATTATTACAAATTATTATATTTTACTATTTTACTTGAGGTTCTGTTTCTTAATCATGACAAAAGCTTTCTTTTTTAACTTGCTGTTGTTAAGGAATGGTAAAATAACTCACTGGCACTATCCACCTTGGTGTTATCGTGGGCTGGGAAGACACCTACAAAAAGCAAACAAATGGTCATTAGAAAAGGTTGGAAGTAGCTGAGAACATTCTCAAAACAATATTGCCGCCCCAAACGATCTCAGATACGTGTCTACTGCCAGCCTTTGAACCATGCTAGTGATCAGCTACAGATGATGTGACCTTTTAGCAAAAGGTAAATGGCTCCCACACAGCTAAAACCTACTCACTCACAGAAACCCACTGGTAGCAGTTTCAGCACAGCTCTCCCTTCCAAAAGGCAATGGAACCCATGATTTTTTTCTGCTTTGTGGACGAAGTTAACCAAGAGCACATGTCTGTAAACAGTTTAAAGGTGCTACTCCTTCCCCCCCTTTTTTTTTGTGCACACAACATTAACTTCTTTTTCACCAGCACAGATTGTAAGAGATATTTTATCTTTATAAAAGGGTTGACTTGTATTAAAAGTTTATTTTTCAAGTATTTATTTTTTATGTATACACACATACATATATATGTGTGTCTATATACATATTTACATATAATTTCTGTAGTATTATGTATACCCAAAAGCCTGAGAAGCAGGCTGGCACTTGCAGGTGTACTAAAATTAGACTACAGGCCCTTGTGGCACAGATCCAAGCTAACTCTTCAGGTTCCTTCACTTCCATTACAGAGCTGTAGGGTCTACACCCCTGCGCCAGCCACATACACACAGTGATCCAGGTCAATCACCACTCGACTCTGCGGCAGCAGATCCAAACCTGGTGGACAGATACTAAAGCCAGAGGAGAATTTATGAGTAAAACCCACTGTACATGTGAAGGAAGAAGTTTGCTTTTGAAATACATTTACCCGAGGTGTGGCTTCTGTAAAGTCAATTAGATTCTCTGTCAATGAGGTTAAGGAAACATCCCGGTCATCTGGAGTGCTCTATGGAATAAATCAGTTTTGAATTTAATTCCCAGTAGTAACCAGATAGGTCTGCTGAATACTGTAGCCGCTTCCCAAGTTATAGACCAGTGTCCTTAATGAACAACACTGTTTATCAGGTCTGTTTTCCCAAGTCTTTCCACATGATCTTTTTAATTGCCTTTTCATTTCACTTATTCTCATCAATGTACTGGAAACAATGTCACTGCCATCTAAGCTCTGAAACTGTCCCATTCTCTAGGCAAAGATGGGGTACTGCACCATTTGACAAGAAGGTCACTGAGGTCTGTGAGCTGAGTATTTTAACTCAGAAGATTAAATTGATAATTATTTAGTGGCACCAACTACATAAGACTAGTTTAGAGGCACAACAGCTAAAAGGCGTGGTGCTTTAGTGATCCAGAATAACCCCTCAGTCTGCTGAAGTAACAGCAGAGTCCAATGTTGGACTCCTCTTTTCTTTTGGAGAGGGACATAGGAGAGTTGACTCCTGAATTACTATGTGCATTTCATGGAGTCTGGTTAAAAATTACCTTATCCTTAGGGTAACCAGGATACAACAACTGAACATTTCAATTTAAACTTTTCCCTCTGTGGTTAATTTGACAGGAATCGCCTATGTCAGAATTTCATCCCTGCAGTCTCTCTCTGGAGCATCATATAATTGGGATATAAGGGGCTCCTCACCAGCATGAAGAAAACGATCAGTTTAGAAAAATAAGTGTCAGGAAAGAACTTGAAAGAAGACTCAGAAATGGCCTTTGGAGAGATCTGTACAGTGTCCCTGTCCATGCCTTTTGGCATTCACCAATGGCTGGTATTCACTGAGTTATGAGAGGCATGCAGCAAGGTCTGCTGTGCTTGCCTAGAGGCATCAGTAGCTCAGAATGGGGGACACAGAAACCTTCCAGGCTGGCAGGTGGTGATACCTTTGAAACAGCAGCCTCCTCAGCTGGAGCCGGATTAGCTGGAATCAGCAGGTCCTCGTGGCTGGAGGCAGCATTGTCCTCATTCAATGCATTACTGAAAGGAGAACACATTCTCATCAGCACACTGCCTGGATAGCATGAAACACTGCTGCTTCCCTGATAGCTCAACCCAAAAACCTGACACCAGTTCCATGGGAGGCAAACAAAAGACTGATGTTCATGAGTACGTTGAAGTAAATGCCTTCAAACTGCCTCTACAGATTACTGCTCTCTTTCAGCTGCAGCTGTGCATAGACCCAACAGTATCAATGTCTTCTATCTCAAAGGAGCTTCTTCAGCCCCTGTTTCCAATTTGCCCGAAGCCTTCCCTGCCATATCCTCTTATCTTCTGCTTTAGAGCCAGGGGCAGCAGGATGTCAGGTATTTTCAGTTTCAGATGAGAGAGATTTGCTTACTGCTTGCTAGGATACTTACCCCGAGGCCTGGCCTACACTAATTAACTGTTGCAACAGTAATTAAAGATGTATCAGTAAACCTGCTTAGTTAGATGTAGCCTAGATGATCATGCAACTGTTTCGCATCTTTTCAGACTTGTTCTTGATTATCTCCACGTGGTTCTCTTACCCCAGAAACACATTTCTCCCGGATCACTTACGGAATAAAGGTGTTTGAGGCAGGGATTGCTTTCAGCAGCTCTCTTGGGTCTTGAAATACTGGACTGGTTGCTGGGGAACTACTCTGTGTTTTGCCTGATGAGGGAATGTTCCTGGCACAAAACAACAAAAAAACACAAACCAAAACAAAAACCAGGTACAACCTTCCACAGAAAGCTCTTCATCACTTGTTACAGCATGTTTTTGCGATCGCTAGGTGTACGTTTTATTCACTATCCCCATGTGCTCTTTGAGGTCTGACATATGCTCATCTTCATAAAAGGTCAAGAAATAACATGTTGTAACCCTTTAACTTTTTAAATGCCTGAAATCCCACTGGAACTAGCAATCATTTGAGATTCAGTAATTCTCAGGAGATCAACTATCAGTGTCAGGTTTTTGTACACAATTGTTTTTCTCCACTAGAAAACAGCTGCTGTAAACAGACCCATTCCCTCTCCCCACACTGAAGTTGTTCATAGGTCAGAAATAACTATAGCAATGGAAGCTGCTGTTGGAACAAATGTTTATCAAATTGAAGAAAATGGGAGAATAAAGAGTATCTGGATTACCTTGTACATAATAAAAATACAGCAACTATAGTGCTTGCTGGTTTTCATTTTGAAAACACTTCACACTCAGCAGGTTAAGCTACACTATGCAAGGTAAAGTGCAATGATAACTGAGCCACTGAAAGACCACACTGAACTGCAGTTTTCAGTGCTGTACGTGGGTAACTAGGTCATGCATTTCTTCCAAATCTATTCAGTACCTGGCAGCAGCATCCTGAGTACTGGAATTCTTGACACCTTTCAGGCTATCTTCTATTATGACCTGAGAGGAAAAAATGAACAGATATAAATTTCTGATACCTGTTTCCATCTTGTGCTAGTTCTGAGATTCACAGAAGAGCCAAGCACCCCCCTCCCAGCACTAAAGGGTGATGTTGATCTACTGCTCAGGGACTTAAAACATCAATTCTATGCGAAAACTTCAGTGCTGAAATAAAAATAATTCACCAACATAGCCAAATAAAATACCATTATTTGCTACAGAATTTTCTAGAACATGCTAGAAGCAGTCTTAGTCACAGAACCACAGAGTAATTTCTTGGTTAGAAGGCAGCCTTTGGAGGTTATCTGGCTCAATAACCACTCGAAACAGGGCTTGTTCAGGGCCTTGCCCAGTGACATGCTGAGTATCATCAAGGATGGAGATTCCTCCTTGGGCAACCATTCCAGTACTGGACCACTATTATTGTGAAGAAAGGCTGAAAGGCTCTCTTACTCTACCTTGGACTTTTTCTCTTGGAGCAAGCACCCTTATCTGCAAGGCACCTTCTCAATACCAAGCAATAGAAGAGGAAAAAAAAACAAAAACCAAAAGATTTGAGGATGTCAGTCTTTATCAGTTGAGTATTTACCTTGTGCCCTGCTTCTGCCTGGGCCTTCAGGATATTGCTCTTGATATCTGCTGGAAGCCACGTTGCTGCTACAATTGGGCTCTCAATTGCATTGTTAAGACATTTATCTGTCAACTTTACCACTTCATCCTAGACATGAAAAAATCTTTATGAGAAGCAGTTCCCACATGGAAAAGTCTGGGCTGAAGTTTATTAACACCTCTAAATAACAACTAGGCTCTAAGTGAGAGGAAAGTCAGCAGACTTATACTGAAATGAAAAAGCAATTTTTTCCTTTATTTTGGAACTCAGTTGTAAAGTCATAGTAAAACATAAAGTAAAAAAAGCACAATGCTTAAAACTGGAGATGCAAAGTGCTGTGCTAAAAATACAGCGTGCAAGAACTGAAACGGACCTTAAATTTGCAGCCAAGTTTACCGATAGGAGATCAATACAGCAGCCATCATATTATATCAGTATAACCTAACTATAAGTTAATAATTTACTCTCAAATGCAAGTTGGTAAGATTTTTACCTTAAAATCCACTTATAAATTAGAACAACAGATTAATGTACTATTAGCTACCTCTCCCATCACTGATTATGTTAAAACAAACTGGCAGCCACATACATAAATGTAGACAATTATAAATGAGAGATCTTTCACTGCAGTTTATTTCATTACGTGAACTGCATTTCTTAATTATAAAATGTTAATTAAGCAATCTCCTAATTGCTATTCGATTAGTGACATAAGTTAATTAACTGAGTGGAAACTAAACCTTGTGACCTTCCTTTTCCGGGTATGACTCAGCAGGGGGAGACAGAGTCCTGCTCTCCTCGCCATATGCCACCCTCCCTGGCTACAGCAGGCTCCTTCCTGGGGGCAAGCGCCACGTTCCTGCAGCAAGCCCCTGAGCAGGCACAATCCTGCAGCACTCCTACATGCACCTGCATGTCCAGGAGGAATGGAGCCCATCGCAGAGAGAGGCAGCAGGGGAGAGAAGTTAAGACGAGGTGAATGCTTGTCCCCCATGCAGCTCTCCATCCACTTTCAGCTTTTTTTCTTCACTGGAAACACTAATGAGAACTTCTAGGTATTTGGTCTTTAGAGAAGTGGGAAAAACAATTCCTCTTCTTGTCTCTCTCTAAATCACCTTTCAAGGTGTCCAAATAGCAGCTTATGAGACTATCTAAAGGAGAACCTGTTTTAAAATTTTGACCCCGGTCAGCACTGAACTTTGCAAAATGTTCAAGGGTCACTGTCAACATAAAAAGGTATGAGGACCAACAACCAGTGTTGCTAATGACTATGGCTAGCAGATTAAGAGATGCACATTCACCTAATTCATGAAGACTAACAAAACAATTAATTATTAAACAGTTAAGTGTTTTTCTTTTAAAGAAGCTGCTGGAATTCCCAAAAGCCTGGAATAATTAAAACTGAATTATTACTATTTGTACAGTTACAGTACCCACCTTATTAGACCTCAATGAACCAGATGCTGTATATAACAGTCCTTGCACAGAAGTTCTAAGGTATTCCAGTACCAGAGATACAGTAAATGTGATTATTTTAACTAAGCACATCAGTACACTGGTGCTTTAAGCACCATTTTGTGGCATAACTTCCTCTCAGCTTTCTTCACCTGAACAACCACTTTAATCAGGTCACTCTAGTCTATTAGTGATAAGATTCTCAACTTTTGAAAAGTTTAGTACTATTGAGAAAAATTTGAATGTAAACAAGTATAAGGTCTATATCACCAAAGAAATATTTCCATCAATATTAAAGATACATTTTTCTCAATCCTTTCCATTTTTCCTTGAAAAAAGCATTGGTGCTTTACTGGCTTTTTTAATGGAAAGAGCATATAGACAGGAAAGCATCTGGCACCTGACAAACCCTCAAGATGTAACTTACAAGACATTTCAGTTCACATAAAACAGTAAAGCTCCTGGGGTTTGTCAATATTCTAGCTTGTTACAAATTCTTATTATTTCCATGTACTGGACACACTATATTTGTACTCTATTCTCCAATCAAAATATGGAGACAGGCAGCAATGCAAAAAGGGAAGGAACAATTAGCAGCAGCAGGCATGTGATCCCAATCCTTTGTGCTTTTGAGCAGAGTTCCTGGTGCCACTGACAATCAATTTGTGCAGGGAGATGGAGTCTAACACGGGCACATTTTTGAGCAACTTCCACGTGTTTACAGATCACAATGAATTCAGAAAAATAAAACCCTCACGTCCCTGCATTTCTGACTCTGGAGCAGGCTTTGAACATGGGCAAACAGGGTGAACTTTTTATTGTTCTTTCACTTCAGAAGCCGATGAAAGCGAAGCATCAGTGTATTTAAGAGCTATTTGTTCTCTTTTGTCAGATCTGGTCTGACAAAAGTGAAAGCTGGGAAAGGACAAAGTCGCATTCTTCCATCCCAACAGATTTTGGCAGGGAGCAGCAGTGAAGAATGAAGCCATTCATTCCCCCTTCCCAGTTCTCATTCTAGAAAGATTTCTCTTTTTTCTCTAAAAGAACACAGACAGCTAGATAAATATTTCCCTACCAGAGAAATCAATCAAGATTACATAATTCTATACTTGCAATCAATCAAAGATGATTGTCAGGCCACCTCTGACCCCTGATGGAAAATAGTTAAATATTTTTAATTAGCAAAGCTGAAGCAAGCAGTTCATTGGCATTTGACAGTGTCACTTAGCAAGTTCAGAATGCAGCTCTGCCTTCATGAGCAGAAAAGCTAATACTTTCCCTTGATACATGTTACCAAACCTTTTATGTGCTGTAACTGTTTCTACATAGGTAGGTATCTTACACACTGGTAAAACTTAAAAGAGATGAGACATGCTGAAATTTGTAATTACACACTTTCAGAGAGAACACTGTAACACTGAAGCAACAGCAAGCTCCAGGGTCTAAATTCATTGCAAGGTTTTAGTGGATGTATCGCAGCCCCATTCAGTTCAGTCAGAAGATGCCATAAACACCTCTCTCACAAATTAAGAACAGAAGTGCAGGAGGAGAGCCAGTAGGTACATTTTGTAACAAATACCATAAATGGAAATCTAGTTTTTCTAAAGCAGCCTTCAAAAGCAGGGAACAAAGTGTTTTTAACAGTTATTCTTAGGTCACTCTCTTCAGGACTCATTTCCAAACCATTAACCTTCCTCTCTAATCACACCTGGGTGTGCTTGTTTGGTGCTACTGTAGCCTACACGTCTTTGCAATCTGAAGCACACAGAATTTAAAGTATACAGAGATAGTCTCTAATCTTTGTCTACCTTTTTAAACAAATACTCTCAAGTGACCTCTTGGTAAGCTACCTCAGGCTGAAAAGCTTTATCCAATCCTTTCTACCCAAGGAAAATCACTGATGATCTACTCTTACATTTTCATAACACAATCTGCACTTCCCTCTTGAAAGCTGAAGTCTCTTTTAGCCAAAGAAAGAATCATATTGGCATACTGTTGATCCATACAGCATGTATTTCTCAGTTATGCAAATGTTCCTGCTCCAGGTTACTTATCACCCCAGTATCTGTAACCTCTAATATCCAAACTTACTTGGCACCTCAATATGACAGCAGCTGGATAACTGTGACTGTACTGTGCTGGCAGCTGTTTGTTAGATTAGCTCATTACAGGAGTCTTAAATTGCTTACTGTATATCAGCCAGGATTTAAATACTACTAAGACACTTTTGCTCCATTCTCTCCATTTAACCAATCAAATGTTTTCTCCCCTCTCTGTCTGAACTAAAATGGAGTTCAACAGGCAAAAATATACTGAAATAAACTGTGTTCGCTTGCTTTAGTTAGTGCAGAGGCAGTGTTTCAGTATAACAGGACCTACAGGCTACTGACTAATCTTCTTAGAGACTTGGTAATCTTTGTAATGCACTCACCAAGCAGAGAGGTGCACAAGGCATCCCTGACAACTGTCCTTAAAGGGGATTGTTGAGCAAAACCAGCCTTCTCTCACATGGAGGGAAGGAATAAACACTCAGGAATGGGCTTAGCCCAAACACATACTGCTAAACACCTCTCTTGGCACCTGGCTCATTTTACTGTTGAGGGAGCAAGAAAATCATTGCTGCTTCACCCAAAGTTACATAAATCCTTGGGCCTCCCCGTGAGGGAGGGTAGTACAAACAGAGATAACACTGCCAGGTGTTTTACTCTTTCTGCTTGTTCAAAATGTAATCAAGCACCTAAAGCTTTAGCACCAGAGGAAGCAGAGTAAGGGAAAGCTAAATTCCAAATTTTTAAAACTCATTAAAAAAAAGAAGAATATTCTGCATGGGGACAGTTGTCCAATAATCAGTGAATCTATGAAGGGGAGGATCCTATCCTCTTCATCCCTTCTAGCAACACTATCTATTTTCACTACAGCTCTGGCATTTCTTTGACCCCTTCCCATGAACCTGTTTAACTCGCTATTTAACAACTTAGAAAACAAAACTCAAAAACCCACAACACCTTAGCAAAACATTCACAACAAAAAAAGGCAAAAAAAAATTTTCTTTGCCATTTTGTAGGCTACATTGATCCACCAAAACATGCAACGATTCCTGGAGTGACAGAGGAGAGAAGGAAGCCAGGGAAGGAAGAGCAAAGAGGAGCGAGGGAGAAGAGCACTCGCTCTGTTCAGGGCACTGAAACTCGTACTTTGGCTCAGCTGCCTGTGGAAACGCAGCCTGACATGCTCAAAAGGATTTATGAGAGCACTAAATCAAAGCACATCACCCCTCTCTGTGTAAACACACAGAGCACTGACATCTACTTCAGAGAGCAGGTAAAAACTGGTTACTTAACAGGAGGGATGGATCACCAGCAAACTTGACTCAAAACAAAACGTCAAAACAATGTTCTTGGAGGGTTACCAAAGGCAACTGAAAAACACCAGGAAAGCAGCTCACGCCCTCAAAAAAGAGGGTGAGCTATACAACACCGTACAGTTAGTAACCAACAGATAAAGACAAGTGAGAAACATTTCAGGCATTATGACTTTTACTTCCACCGATTTTAGAAAATTTCACCAGGCCACAGTCTGCATACGTGCACAGGCACCTCTGCCCCCAACTTTATCTCACTGCTCTGTCACACACAGGTTCATTTATAACAAACCATTTGTATTTCCTTTACTATCTTCAATATTACTCACTCATCTTCTGAAAAATCTTGCAAAAGGCCCAAGGTGAGTGGAAGACTTTTCATAATGATCTGAACAAAATTCAGTGACTCTGCCAGGAGGAATGAAGCCCAAGTACCTGTATGTTTATGTTTATGTTGGGACGCTCAGTTGGCACAGGGCTGCTGCACTCTGTCTCCAGCTGCTTCAATTTCAGGAACGCGTCTTCAAATGCTGAAAAAGACAGAAAAGATGTCATCCTAATGTCAGGGTGGAGTTATTTGACTTGTAACTTGCATTTTTACTGAACACTGATTCTACGGTTTTCAAGTTGTGGAAAAAAAACACAGGGATGGGGGAAAGCTACTTGCTCAATCTTCAATGCAACTTTCATGCCTACAGACTGCTGTACCTAATCACACACAACACTGTGCTCCTGCAAGTTCATTTACCCAACTGCCCTCATGGTGAATGAGCAAGCAGCAAGAGTTAACTGCTCAGATAGTTGCACTTCACTCTATTTGTGGCTGACGTCAGATTCAACAAAAACCCGTGACTTTTCCCCTGTACCTCTGCCCTTGGAAATACGCTGCTTCCAGCTGAAATGGGCAAAGGTGACTGACTTTGTCATCCCAAACTGCATGACTTAAAGTCATGGTGATGTCTTAAAATAGTTCTTGAAAAATTTGTGGCAAATTACTGAAATACAGTGACATAAACCAAAGGCAGCTCTTGAAAGCAGTTAAGGACAGTTCAGTAGATTCACTAACAGCAATATTAGAAATTTCACAGACTGAAGACTGATTGTGAAATGAGCTGTCCTTAAAAACAATTTGTTAATATTTTGGTGGAGGACTTATGTTGAACTCCTAAATGCACTAATTCATATACCAGAGGGGGCTGCATTCCAATGGTGGGCAAAACTGCCATTATACATGTAATCTAAGTGAGCTCCCTAAAACAGGCCTGAATTTTTGTAAGGAAACTACCTCATAATAGCCTATCATGACCCCAAATGTCATTAATAGGGAAAAATCTCTAAGTTTGCTTACGATCAGAGTCTGTTTTTTCAGCAGCAGTTTCTTTTGTGCCAGAGTGAGGGCAACTAGCAGCCTCTTCTGAATCTCCTGTTGCCAAGCCAACAACTGGACGGCCCACGGCATCATCTATGCAAGTTTCTGGCAACTCCGTGCTGTCTAGCAAGTCAACAAGAGGTACACTGCAGGGGCAGAAAGATGGGCAGAGATATGCAGGATCACGTTACCACTCTTTCTGTAACAAGAAAAAAGCTTTAACACATGCAATGTCTTTTTTCAAGCGATCTTCTGTTGAGCAGACACATTCTGTAAAAACTGTTTCAGGCAACTCGAATAGTCATTGGCTTTCAGTGAGTTAAAAAACAAACAAACAAACGACTATCTAATATCTGTAGAAAAACTGACTTCATATCACACCAGGCCCACATTGCCTGCTGCTTCATCACATAGCAGTGCAAAAAGTGAGAAGGAAGTTTTTATCAATTAAATACACTTTTTGGAACAACCATCTGAAGTTTTTCTAATAAACTCCAGGTACATTTTAGGAATTTTACGAGAGAAAGAAAAGTTGGGGGGAGGGAAGTTGATACTGCTCACAAAAGGCTATTTGTACAGCACTTCATCCAACACTTGTAAGCAGAACAGGAGGTCTGCATTGACACTATGTTATGGTCAGGCATACCTGTAACCGCTTTCAGTTTTATTGACTTGGGCAGAGACACAAATGAAACTTTAACAGTTACAATATTTTAAGTGAACCACAGCACATGCTCTCTACTCTGTTAAGATCACTTGTTTCACCTCCTTTGCTTTCTAATGAAAATGTCTCCTTTTTCTTTTGTCCTACCACCTGTATTTATAATGACAATAGGAAAAAAAATTACAAAAACAAAAGTTATATTACAATGCTTATGTTGTGCAAATAGTTGGAAATCTCATCCATCTCTTCAAAGTTCAGGAACAGCTAAAGCTCTTCCAGCAGCAAACTATAACAAATGCAGAAACAACAGCTGCTGCAGAACGTGATGGTTAATGAGCCGACCTGTGCACACAACTGCAGTCTGACTGTCACCCATTTCAATCAACAATCACACTTACATACAGTTTGGTTGCAACGTTGGCTTAAGAAGAAAAATCTACCACTTTTGAAAGTCCTGTCCCAAATACGAGAACAATGATACCAAACAACAGAACTTACCCTTATGCATGGACAGAGATGCTTCCTACTTGACAGTTCAGATCAGCTTCTCCCTTATTGCTACTGGGTTAATGCCCCATACCTCCCGCCAGCCCCTAGAATTTGGATGCAGTCCCATGTTGTCACTAGAGGCTCCAGGAAAAAACTCCTTCCTCCCACTCAGGCACCCAAAAGAATCCTTCCAATGTTAAATATATACTTCTGAAACAGGTTACAGGATATCACCATTTTAGTGCTAATAACGTATGAATCATCTTAAACCAATTAATTGTCATAAGTCAAACCAAAGTCACTTGCTTGATTCTTTTAAGTTGTGGAATAAGAAGGTGCTAGCAAAGCAAATATTAGGAAACTTCTCAATCTACTGTACAGCCTCTCTGTGCACCACTAATGGGAAATGGCAGGCAGCAAACAGATTTGCAACGGGGGAATGATGGATACAGAGAATTTAAATTATTAGAAGTAATAAGCAGGAATAGATGTTCTTCCAATTGAGGGCAACAAAGAAAGTGAGACTGAATCCCGTACCTTACTATCAGAGGATGCCTATGCATGAGAGTGAAAATGCTTTATAATCTTCTAGTTTTCTTCCTATTTTCTGACAGTTTTCTTTTAATAGCCTCCCAAATATTCAATGTGACAATGACTAATATAAGAAGCTTATATTTTGCCTGCAGTACAGAGAAGTGCTGATGCCATGACATGTTGAAGGAACTACGTATAAGCTCCTATGAACTCTACATGGGAGGTGACGTAGAGCACCAGTAACACTTCTTTGTGCTGCAATCTTGTAATGCTTTTCTCAACATTGCAGCACAGTGGAGAGAAAATGAGTGAAAAATGAAATTAATTTTCATTAGAAAACTGATAGGATAGTTACACTAGCCTTCCCCCCCCCCAATGACAACTGCAGTAACATTTACTAGACAGATGAGAGCTGATTTAAAAACCTGTCTGCTAGACACATGAGCAGTCTTGAAATCTGCTGGCATATTCAAACGGCACACTCAATGTCTAGTGTTGCTCCAAATGTAGCGTAGTACTTATATTGAGGCGATGAAAGTTTGTAGAAAACCTTATTGCCATTTGTATCACAGGATGGAGGGCTGGCTGAGGTAGCAAGGACAGCTGGGGTGCCTGCGGCTTTACCGCAGGGCCGCAGAGAAATGAAAAGACTTTTACACAGACTCAAGAGAAGCTTCCTAAGTCAAGATTCAAGTAGGAATTGACCCCATTTTGCCTTCAGACCCACTGAAACACCTACTCAGCCACTCCTCTCAAGCGGAAAGTCATATTAGGGACACTGTCAGCCACTGGAATTTGCAGGTACAGAAGAGGAGTTCTGCAAAGAGCATTAAATTGTTCAAAGCCACCCAGATTCTTCACTCTCTCCAGAGCATCAGCAGGAAGCCTACCATGCAGGCTTCATCAATGGCCAGACTACGGAAGTAAAAAGCACAAGACACTATTTTCATTGCTGCATAGAATTTCTGACCTCTCTTACAAAACACTGCTGAACTGCCATGCCAATCATAAGGGAAATAATAAAAGGCTTCCCAGGAAAAGCAGGACTTCTATGACAGTCAGCGTGCAGCACTCAAGAATGAAATGGGCGCTACCTTTCCACGTTCCTGTATTTACCCACATACAAAGGGGTGTTTGAACTTTGCATACTAGTAAGTGTCAGGCTTTATGTCTTCAGAATCAACTTCTATCACAATTTAAAAAATATTTTGAAGGAAAGGCTGATAAATTATACCAGGAGTTCAAGTCATAGAAATAATTATTAATATAGGAATAATCAAAGGGGTTTAGTGCATGGAAAGGTTTGTCAATCCACTAATAAAATCACAGAGAAGTCGTTACATGCTCAGGGAGCTCCCACAGTTAAGGGAGTTAGCTACTGCATTATTTCTTCTTTTTGCCTAACAAATATATTGATATTAGTATGTACCATACAGCACACAAAGCACAATGTGACTGAGAAAGCTGTCAGTTACAAAGGGTAGGCTTTTTAATTTCCTAGTTGAAAAGCTAAACAACACATCATTCTAGTTTGTAAAATACAATCTGCAAAATACACAGTAACTAGCAGAGCCTGCTGCAAAAGAGGCAATTCTTTTCCAAATAATCTAATTTGAAACAGCATGGAGCACCACGCAAATTAATTTATTTTTTCAAACTGGTAGTAACACAAAATAGTTTATCACACTGACTCTGCAAGGTAGTACAAGAGTATGAAATTCTTCATTCATTTCCTTCATTTTGGGACATTCAGTGTTGTACTTGAAGGTAAGAAGAGGAGTAAATTTAAGCCTGTCACCTTTTCAGATTTTTTTTTTTTTTGTGCTAAACACAAAAGTAAAATACTCAGGAAAAAAAAAAAAGAGCTTCCTTTTCAAGGGAGGAAAGCAAAAGAAAAAATCCCGGGGGATGTATGATCCTACAAATGAAGACTGTTCATGTGCACTCAGTTTCTGATCAAGCAGGCCGAGTCCCACGTTCCAAGATTTCTGCTGCCTCCCATTTGTTTGAAGATAATTCCAAATACTGACACAGTGTAATATACGCAAGTCAACAACTACAGGAAAGGAAAGAAAACCCCCTTAGGAATAGGTGCTGGCTGCAGAACCTTTATGGGTATTAAGCAAAGATCTGTCACCACTATCCTGTTTAGAAAGACACCCATGTGCTTCCTCAATGCTACTCCTAGAGCACGTGAACCTGTCCCTGTAAAAACGCAGCTAGGTGTTGTAGGTACTCGTGCGGTACAATTTCAGTCTGCTAGTGAGGGCTGCCACATACCTTAGTGGAAACCAGGATAATAATTCTCCTGAAGTCAATGAAGTCACACTAAAATAAGCCCCACACAGAGCAAAACTGACCCTCAGGATGTACGCAAGATTCAAAGCCACGTGGCAAAAGAATGCAACATATACCACAGTAAAACAAATCAGTTCTTAAGGCAGATGGATTTCAGGCAACCCGGGTTGCTTCCCCTGTCCTGAATCTGTCATGCAAAAAATCTACTACGAAAACTTTAGCCACAGCTTTAATTACCAAGGTTGCTGTTAATCCCAGGGCAGTCTGTGCCACACTGCAGGCGGCTGGGATAGCCAGCCCTCTACTCAGCGCTGGTGAGACAGCCCCAGAGTGCTGTGCCCAGCTCCAGGATCCCCAGGACAAGACAGACATGGCATATGGGAGGGAGTGCAAAGGGCCACGATGGCGACAAAGGGTCCGGAGCATCAGACATAGGAGGAGAGGCCGAGAGAGCTGTGACTGTTCAGCCTGGAGAAGAGAAAGCTCAGTAGGATCTTACCAATGTGTATAATAACCTCATGGGGGGAATAAAGACCACAGCCAGACTCTTCTCAAGAGAGCCCAGAGACAGAATAAGAGACAACGATCACAAACTGAAATTCAGGAGATTCCACTTAAACAAAGGGGAAAAACGCCTTTTTTTGCTGTGAGGTTGGTCAAACACCAGAAAAGGTTGCTCAGAGAGGGTGAGAAGCCACCATCCTTGGAGATACTCAAAACCTGGCTGGGCATGGTCCTGAGCAACCTGCTCTACTCGACTCTCTTTTGAGCATGGGGGTGGACTACGTGATCACCAGAGGCATCTTCCAACCTCAACTATTCGTTAGTTCTATGATATCTACATAAAACTTTTCTGATACCCAAGGAGTCAGTCACCACCTGCAGTGGCCTGACCACTACAGAGACACATCTGAACTTAAAACTCTGCAATAAACCATTGACTTGTTATTGCAACAATGTTCTTACAAAACTATCCCAAGTTCCTCCACTCAAATTAATGGTGGCTTCTCCCTCATTTGCACAGAAATTATGAGATATTATAAAGTTAAAACACCTGTTTCATTTGCGTATTCTTATGCAACTTTATAAATAATAAACAAGTAGGTTTGCTTCGCTCCAGAAGCAAACACCATCCACCTTGCAAAATCTAGAACTAAAAAT